CGCGACGGGCGCGCGAGGCGTCGCTGTGGGAGCCAGGCACCAGGCAGTGCTTTCCCCCAAGGGGAATCGTACCCCGCTCTGCTCCACTCTTTTCTCTCCTTGGGCTTTTTTCTTGCTCCTGTATTGACAGAAAGAAATCTCAGCCCGTCTCCTGTGATGAACACTCCTGAACATTGTCTTGGGGGATGCTGAAGCCCAGTATTCAGGAAATGGCTGGAGCGGGGGGAACCAAATCAAACCCCAACAGTGCTTTCCCCCAAGGGGAATCGTACCCCGCTCTGCTCCACTCTTTTCTCTCCTTGGGCTTTTTTCTTGCTCCTGTATTGACAGAAAGAAATCTCAGCCCGTCTCCTGTGATGAACACTCCTGAACATTGTCTTGGGGGATGCTGAAGCCCAGTATTCAGGAAATGGCTGGAGCGGGGGGAACCAAATCAAACCCCAACCCGTTAAAGATTCAGATTTTATATTTGTATATATTTCGGGTTGGAGTCCTCTAGGAGCTGCCTAGATTGGCTGCAAGCAGAAATCCACAATTCTAAATGAATGCATGTACGTCCTGACACGAATTTACGAGAAAAGTTGAGCGTCACCACCATTCTAGGAAGCCTGTTGTATGGCAGAATACAAGTGACTTGATCATGATTTATTAATTAAGGGGACAGACGAGCTCTGGAAATGAAGGGGCTTTTAATGAACTGAATCACGACAGGGTTGGTTGGTAAAATCCCATGCCGCAGATATCGGATGTTCTCGGCCCTAGGTTGGGTAATCTCATAGTTTCCAATGGTTAGCGAGTGTTTTAACCACTGAAGCATGAGGTTTTGATTTTTCCCTCTCTCCTAAAAGAGCGGATTGTTGTCCGCACAATCTTTTTTTGCCATTTTGACCATGCTAACATTTTTGCTCGGTCTTTGGCTGGCAGATGAGAAAGCTAAATCTGAACACGCTGTTCTTGGCAAGGCCCGGTCTTTCCACTCCTCAGTCGCGGTGTCATGATTTCCATGGCAAATTCTATTTCCTCCTCACTGTGCTGGCACTGACGGTCACCCCCATTGTTTCCCAGTTACCTGTGTCTCCTGGGCCTGTCTGTACGTCGCCGGCACTGCACAAGTTGCATCCACGTGTGTCACTAGCAGGTTTTACCGTAGTCCTGCTAGCCGCTCCTACCTGGTGCAAAGGCTTCGTGGCAAAGAGCAAGCGAATGCATAGCTGAAAAAAGCGTGAGCCAGCCGAGGAGCTTTCCAACAGACTCCACTGCCCGAAAGACTTGCGGCGTCGCTGGGGACGGGCAGACCCCGCCTGCAGGGTGCCTGCCGCTGGTGTCCCTGCCGCTGGTGTCCCTCTCCCTGGCCTCCGCCAGGGCCCCCCGGAGCCCACGGGAAGGTGCTTTCCTAAAGCCTGGTTTTGCAGGTTTGAATTTTGCAATGAAAGCCACGATGGCTCACACTCAGCTCATTGATTTTTAGTGCTCTGCAATAACAACCCCCATGACTTTCAAGTGTGGCACAGCTTAATTTGTCCAGGCTGATGGGCTTAAAAAGAACGCGTTGTAAACGCTCAAGGTTCCTTTTGTGTGCCATGGCGCCCTGCACGCTGCTTCCTTCAGTGCAGACGGATTTCTGGTCCTGAGTTAGCATTTCTTATTTGTACAAACCCTTCATTGGTTTGGGTGGCAAGAAAGGAAGCTCCCTAATATCCCGGTTTATATCTACAGTAGGTAGTCTTGGGTCTTGCCCTAAAACAAGCTGTCCCGTCTCCCCTTGGACCATCATCTTCCAGACTTCCTGCCCTTAATGGGGACTTGAAGAGAACGCCCCCACCCACCCCGGGAGGCTGCCCAGTGCATCCCTTTTATCTGGACACAGATTCTTCACCTGTTTCGAGGGCCAATAACTCCCACTGCTAAGGGCTGGTTCTTACCCGGCAGCAGAATTGACCAACCCATCCCATCTGTCCCAACAACTTTTTCCTTTGCTTATCAACCCCCCTCCACCCACCCCCCAAAGCGCTGATGAAGTACACAGCCTCCCCTTGTCCTGAGTGATATAAAACTTGGGGCTGCGTTCAGGCTTCATGCATCAAACAAAGCCGTGCTTTCCAGCAGAAAGGCTGTGTCTGCTGAAATAAAAGCTGCGTGGAGAGAAAGATGAAAGTACGCAACTCTCTGGAGGTGCGGTGTGTAAGTCTGCCATGCAGCTTTATTTTAACATGATCAAAAAATAAGTCGTGCTGCTGACCATCAGCTACTTCAGATTTTAGTCAAGCCTCTCTAGCCTGCACAAGGACACGGGCTGCTTCGGTTTCTTGCTGGATCCGAAGCAGAGAACATTTCTTCCTATTAAGCCTGAAATCTGAGCTATGCGACGTGGGACTTCAAAGTGGGCGTTTTGTCAGGGATGGGTGGGAGACATGCAGCTTGCTGGTGACGCAGAGGGCTCGGGAATCCTAGCGCCAGATCCGGTCTGAGGCAGCGCTCCCCGTTTGTTACCACTGTATGCAAGTTTTGTCGTGTCCCGGTCCATCTGCACACACACACACCCACCCCCAATTGGTCTTTTGTGCAGCTCTGTGAGACCAATTCACTTCTGCATCCCTTCCCCTCCCCCCAGAATTTATCTTTAAGCTTCCAGAAAAAAAACCAATAAATCCTTGACACCAGCGTAAGGGAACAGGGGCACAGGGACCGAGACAAAGCACATGCCGAGATTCCTCCCGGTCCTGCTCGAGCGAGGATGGCGAGTTATGCAGATACTTTGCGGTTCGGTTCTGTTCTACACCCCGTTTCGTGGCAGTAACGCCCCGATTTCACAAATTCTCATGTCTGTGATGATTCAGTGTTTGCTAAATAGAGACACCCCGCACGCCCCCCAGGTGCGTGCTTGAGGATATTCTTTTCCTGTGCTGAACAGCAAAGGAGAGGAGAGGAAGGGAAAGGGCTGGTAATCTTCAAAATGCGATTACAGCTACGATGTTGTTCTCAGACACATCCCAACTGGAATTTCCCACACTCACAAGCATTTCGTGTCTCACCACACAGCCCAAACCAACCCAAACTTTGGGGGATTGTTTTTCATCTCCAGAACTGGTGTTCCCTGATGCAGCTTTTAACTTTCCCACTTCCTGGGTAGTCACTTGATTACGGTTAAGCGTTGGTAACGGTTTCAAAATCCCTGGTGTCTTTCCTAATATTTGGCTCAGCAATCCAGTAGCCTGCAGACCCGCCGTTGCAGCAAGCATTTCTGCTGCCTGGAGACGAAAGGCCATTTTGCGTACTTGGAGCTGCATTGTTTCTTTGCTCTGGCACCGAGTGGCCGAGGCAGATGTTCAGCAATGGGGGAGGTGGGCTTTCCCCAGCACCAGCTGCAGCCCACCCATGACGGGTCATTAATTTGCTGGTCCAGTCAGTCTTGACCTCGAAGTTTGGTTGATGGTTCTTGCGTGCATGCCTGATCGCCGCCTCCCTTCCCCGCATCCCCAACTGCTGTTGCTCCCCGCGCCGGGACGGCTTTGCAGCAGCAGAGCTGCACGTCAGAGGTGCGAGATGAAGCGGATGCGCTGGGAGTACACCAGGTCCACGACGTAGAGCAGCAGGTTCACGTAGGTGAAGATGGCAATCACCAGCTGGCTGTCCCAGGGGCACCTGCCCTTGGCGCAGAGGCTGGGGCGCCGTGGGGAGCCGTACTTGCTGTCGAAGCAGAACACCGGCCAGATGACCGCTGCACTCACGTACAGCAGCACGGCCCCAAAGGTGTAGACAACAACAGCGCGCTCGAAGGGGAACCACGGCAAGGCGGTCTTGCCCGTGACGCTGAAGGCCACTACCACCACTGTCACCACAAAGCAGAAGCTGTAGACGGCCACACACCACTGCGTCGCCACGTATTTGCCGTGCTGGCTGTCGTTCACCAGCGCCCCAAAGATGATGCAGGCCACAAAGGCCTGCACGATTTTCAGGAGCCCAGAGACGGTGGCCATGTAGGTGGTGACTTGTCCCGGTTTTGCCCTGGTTAAGAAGACCTCGGCGGCGTACACCACAAAGAGGAGGCCTGCAAAGACGCTGGCTGCGATGCGAAAGTCTCTCACCTCACAGCCGATGGGGTAGCAGTCGAGCTGGACGAAGTAGAACGGGTAGATCACCGCGGCCGTGACCGACATGAGCGTGGCGAGCATGGCAAAGGCGGCAGTGAAGTTTCCCCAGGAGATGCTCAGGCAGCTGTGCAGGTGCGTGAATTCACAGGCGACGATGAAGACCGTGACAGCAAAACAGAAGGTCCAGACAAACATGCAGAAAGTGCCGTACGCCGCGCTGAATCCCCCCTGGTGGGCCACCAGGCTGAACGTGGTGCATCCAAATGTCATCTGCAGCAAACGAGCTATTCCCACAGGGGAGGTCACAGCGGCAGTGTTCAGATACGGCCCACCCGTGCTCTCCATCATCTTTCCAGCCCAGCACTTAGAGGTCCCCCCCCCCAAACGTCCTTTCAGGCTTTTGCTCCTTTGTCGCAGGTCCCACCTGGTGCCGGATCAGCCGAGCGGCCGCTGGAATCCCCGCCCTGTCTCTCCCAGGATCTGTAGGTGCTGTGCGTGACGCTGAGCGTGCGTTTCTGGCAGCCTCTCAGCGCAGACTTGCCGGCTGCAGGGAGGCTGCTGGCTGGCTCTGCCCACCGGCTGCGATCTCCGGTGCTGCGGTCAGCTCGCTCCGCTTCCTCCGGTCTGAAACCTGCCCCGTGCTCTGCCCTTTCACGGTCTCCTTTCCCACACGGTGGCCCAAAGGATTGCTTTCTCCCTGGAGGCTGACATTTATTCCATTTTAGCTCTGCAGCTGTAGCGCTGCCGCACCGTTCGCGGGAGCCTAGGAATATAAATAGGGGCTGTATTAATAGTTCTGGAATGAATCCTGCCCCCCAACTGCCCCAAGCGGGTGTTATTTAACACTGACACTGCGCACTCCATCAGAGCCTCTTGATTATCCCTCTGCTGTTCCTCTGGAAGCCTTTGGGTTGCCGGAACGCTGCTGTTCTCCCAGCAGCCGCCCCACGCTGTATGGGGTGCCCGTGGAAGCGGGCTGCGATCCAGCCACACTGCAGGAACAGGAGCCCTGTCCTGCAGACCCCCGAGGGGTGGCAGGAGCCCGAGGGTATCACAAGCCCCGTGGAAGGATTGGGCCAGAGGCGCTGGCAAGAGCTGACTCACTCTGCTCCATCTGGTCTGGAGCAGTAGCGCTTACCCGGTGTGAAAGCCCTGCTGCGCTTTGAGCATTAGTGAGGGTGTGTGGCTGCAAAGGCTTTGAGCACCCATCCTCACTATCTCCTTACTGGTTTACTTACATGGGAACCAGTTGTTCATGTATCTCAGAATGCCAAAACCAAGCACAATTGTGTAAAAAGAAAAAATATAAAATGGCTTTGATATCCTTAGCTCTGTTTTGGAACAGAGATTTCAGCATATGATGTCAACCCCCCCCTCCTGTTGGATCAAAGCTTCCCCAGGTAGACATTTTCAGCATGCATTTCCCCAGACCTGGTCTCTACCCAGAAGTCTCTCAATTCTAACTCCAAAAGCCCCAAAGAAAAATTCTGATGTAGTTTCAGAACAGGAAAAATGAAACCCACAGCATAGTAGAGAAATTCCTTGCTTACCTCACGGCAGCATCACGCACAGACAGCTCTCACTGCGCTGGTCCCAGTATGGAAGCAAGATTGCCCCAGTATGGAAGCAGGATCATCCCAGGAGCTCTGCACAGGCAGAGGGAGCCAGCACAACCGAGGGCCAGCCCAGCCCGGAGACTTAAAATGGTTCTGAATGGTTCGACATAGCCATCAGCTGTGCTGATAAAGTCTGTAACTCCCCAGCTGGGAATTATAACGGACCCTCATGCTCGGTAACAACCGTAATTGCTTGGGATCATCGTTTATTTGTATGTTAATGCAGTGATACGATGCCCACCAATGCATTGCCACAGGCAGTGCTAGGTACTGCGAAGAGCTGACAAAAGAGAGCGTCTGCTCCACGTTAGGATCTTCACACGCAGTTTGGGGCAGCCAGTGTTTGTC